ATGACAGTAAATCTAATAAATTTGTTTGGCTTTTATATCATTAGTCTAATGTACAAAATGTTGTGAAAACTAAAATCAGCATGCAGACTTGCAAAAAAAATTGAATGCGCATGTTGTTGGACTAAAAACAATGGAGAAAAGTAATCTGTTTTAATTGTAGAACACATATCTTCATCAAATAATTCTGTCAACTTAATATTCAATCATTGTATTGCATTGTATTTACAACAGCAGTAGATAAGATAGATACATGCAATACAATACATGTGTTGTACAATTGTTGTTGTTTATTATCTTAAATTAAATGACAGTAAATCTAAAATTTTTTTTTTTGCAATAAATTCTTTATGTTTTTGACAGTCGGCGTGCAGGTTTACATCCAGAAATAGCAGTGCACCGTGGCTTTGAAGAATGTCTTTGTTACGGTGATGTTACTGTTCTGTTCAACCACACACCAGACCCTAGTGTTAACGTACCAAATGCAAAGGAAGACTTTGAAATCAAAAAGAGATCAGATGAAACCGACAGCAAAGTGAAAAAGACGATCAATCATACAGCCAGTCCTGTAAAGTCGTCCCAAGTAAAATCAGCTGATGGGACGAGAGAGAAAGAGACATCAGGCTCTCATCAGGGTACAAGGTGGGACTTACTTCTGTTGCTGGTTTATGATGTACACCATTGTCTAGGAATCATTAAAAATCTGTTGAAATTGACATGTACTATATGAATTTTTATCTAACAGTACTGAGAATCGAGGTAGACATGATCTGATTGGAACCCAGTTCTATTCACCTACACGCTGTGATCTATGTGTAAAAAAAGTGAGTGAAATTTTGTTTTCTGTCTCACATGTATTACAATTAAAATGAATTTATTTTGAAAATTTGTTCAAAGTTGCATTGTCAGCTAAACTTAGTTGAAAGACTTTGCATTTGTGCGTAACATCATCAAAACTCAAATCTGAACTTATGCTAATCGAAAGCTGACGTATAACCCTGTTGATAGACTATAGTTATTTCACTACAATAACCACTCTCATGCATTGCTGTTCAAATTCTGTTTCGGGTACACACTAAACACACGCATGAGTGAAATAATCATCTTATAAAATCGAAAGTGAGAGACAAAATTGCTTTTCAGGAAACAACTCAAGAATCTTGTGTGCATCTCAGACTAATCTTAATAGAAAATGCTTCACATTAAATATAATAGTCCATCTTTGATTGCCAAACAGAGAATCCTATGTGTGATTCAGTGACTTGAAGATACTGGAAACTCAATCACAACCAAAGCTACAAAACTGTTTGCTGACATTCAGATATTGTCAATGCAGGCATCTTGTGAATTCTGTCGCTGTTGCAATTATTATAATGCACGTACTTGAAATGTGTGCAAAACATTTTCAGGTACTCAAATTTTATCAATCAACTTTAATCATTCCACTTCCCAATACTGGCAGACCATTGTATAATGGTAAGATGCCTTGACCTTATATTTAGGCTTCCCATATGCCAAAGTCTGCAGCTGTTGAACATAATAGACCTGCATCATTTTTGATCAATATCTGTAGTCAATAGCAAATTATGTCCATGTGATAAAAAATCAACAAACAAATTACAATGTATAGAAAAATACAAAAAATTTGCAGAATGTTGCACCTACATTTTGGTGGGAAAAGGGTTAATACATAGGTTGATATAAGCATATGATGTTCAATTTCTCTTTTAGGTTTGGACTAAGTATGCTTTTCAGTGCAGAGCATGTGCCATGATATGTCATAAGAAGTGTGTGGACAAGGCGCAGACACAAACCTACTGCTCCAAGTAAGTAAATGTCATTGCTATAAGCATATAGGCACTTGGGTCTGTAGCATAAACTTTAATCTACACAAGCATGTCTTGAGATTACTGAAACCTTTCTTTTTTTCCTCATCACTGCAGAGATGGAGCACGTTGGCGGTCCAGTAGCCTCCTTTTGTCAGAAACTAATAAAACCACCAAAGATGACAGTGCCGCCAAAGGAATCAACATACCAGCCCTCCCGAAGCAATCATCCCCCAAGACTTCACCTAAACTGCTACGAGGTCTGCCTCGTATGTCACACTTACCACTTGGTAGCACATTTCTACCAGATACTGGTTCTGATGAGAGTAGTGATAGTGATAGTCTAGCTGGTAATGCCAGGACATTGAAGTCACAGTTGTTACAAACCTATGGTTCAAAAGGTGGTAAATCCGGAGATTCTGATGCATTGGTTGTGTCTGCTGCCAAAGAGGTAAGGATTTGCACACCATTATATTATTGGCGTTAATTTCGGTAGTCATATATTTTCTTTACAGTTTTATTAAAAAGTTTTGGTTGTGAATGCCTTCAAAACTTGTTCCTACAATACATTACTGTTTTTGGTCTTGCATGTATGCTCAGTAGTTGGAAAGATGGAAATTCAAATCAAGCTTCCCTCATCCTTATTCAGACAAAGTAAAAAAAAAACCAGGGAGTTATAGATTAATTTCTGTGTGTCTTTGCATGTGAAGTGTATGTATCTGTTATCACCTGTATCTCAGACATGCCTGGGCTGATTATGGTCAAACTTTACACATACATCATGTCACATATATGTACATTCAAAAACAATTCTTGATCATAGATGCGCATATTTGTTCAACAATCTAATCCAAGATGGCCAAGTTAAAAATGGTTGAAAATGAAAAGCATTTCTGTCATTCCAGAACTGGATCTCAAGTCGTGCATGAATACATTTAATTTGATAAATACATTGAACAACATTTGATCCCTGTCATTAGCCACTGTTCGAACAAAGTTGGAAGATAGGTACTGATAATCTGGCCTTCCAAACCATATCTTGGACATGGATTGGATAATCATTTTTAAACCTAACACAAAAATAATACATACATGTATGATGCAAGAAGAAGTGGCTGACTGGCAGCCATTTTTGTAAACACAATTTGCTATATGCTACTCAAACGTGTCGAGTTGACTTCTATAAAATTTGGTTTGATTATTATGCTTATTGGGATACAGGTGCATGTCATATTTGTTTTGAAATTCAAGATTGTTTTATCCATGTTTATGTCAATTCACTACGTTCAATTACCCACCATAGACTCCGGTCAGTCAAAATGACTATTTTGAACTGTAGGCATTAATCAGCGATTCTGCCGGTGACGGAGAGATAGAATCTAGGTCAGGGGAAGCCCCATGACCTCAAGATTCTTTTACCCCTTACGTCACAAACCCACGTGACCGAGGCCACATGGCAACGCCATAGGTAGCGTCCATCACTCTTCAATCCTCTCCGCCTCGTCGGGGAATGATTCTGAGCGGCTCTGCCTGGCTTTGTTGTTTTTTCCTGTCCGGGTTTCTAGCGTGGGTCGTCGCCGCAGCCGCGGCATCCGACATTCTAGCTGGTAGGATAAGTTTTTCTTGTCTTTTTACCCTCGTGTCGTTTTCCCCTTTGTGTGTTATGCTTTTCCACAACAAAGAAACCACACCCGGCGCCACTACGTAGTCACATGTTGGCGGCACCTTTTACAACTGTAATTCGTTTAGCTCATGCATGTCGTCTTTTATTTTCAATTTATTTAGCAATATATAGATGTAATGACAGCACCAGGGCTCGCTGCCATTTTCTTTCCGGTCTCCTCGTGTTTCGAATCGACTGTGCAGTGGTTATATTCAGAATTTACCAGCATAGAACCCGCATCCGAGATACTTTGTCGTAGCTACGTGCGGGTTTCGGGGTTTTTGCGTGGAAGCGTGTTTTTTTCACTGGAGTTCTGAGGCCTGAGTTTTTCTTTCAGAGCCATCAAATCGCTGAGACTGACCGCGTCACAGCAAGGTAAACAAATTGGTTAAAGTGAGTTGCGTGTTTTGCATGAGTGGGAAGTCCTCACGCTCGGCTACCGGTACTTCATGTACCGGGGCGTCGAGTAAGAGGCCCGACGGTGGAGGTACCGATATTTTTTCTCCGTCTCCCCCACTGATCGGAGGGCATCCTCACAGTCTGTGTTTTCAGGCGGTGTTTTACCCGATTTTACCGGCTGCAGCGAGGCTGTGCCCCTGGAGGCTTTCCTCCTATGGGGCCCGTTGCGGGTCTCTTTGTGGGCCCTTCCTCGCACGGCGCCGGGTTTGCCTCCGAGTTGAGGGCTTTGGTCGAAGGACTGTCGGGGCAATTGCGTCCCTGGCGGGCCGGGTAGATCAGACGCAGTCGGAGCGAGCTGTCTCCACTGTGTCCCCTCGGTGGGCAAGCAGGAAGAGACACGAAAGCATGTTTGCATTCCAGCATGTCTCTTCCGGGGAACCCCCGTTCCCAGGCACGGTCTCCCACTATTTTCAGGGGTGGCCGAGGCTCAGGCTAATTGCACTGATCCTTCTCTGGATCCTCAGGCACTGAATGCCAACGGGGTGCTGGCAGCCAAGTCTCCGGTCTGGGGCAGGGCTTGCAGGGCAGGGCACACGTTGACCCCCCTACTTTCAGCCAGCTAGGGTTCGTCACGCGGTAACGGTACAACGGTAACAAATTTATCCTTGTGTCCAGTCCCCGCTGTGGGTTTTGACTTCTTACCGACCAACGGGCGTCCCCAGAGAGAACCGACCCTGTCATGAGACGCACAGTCGAACACGCTCCCTTTCACATATTTAAAGTGAAAGGAGATGCAGTTCGCTCGCGTCGGATACAGCCGGTTCTCCGGGCGGAGTCAGAGTCTTCCATCTGTTTGACTCGGTGAGCCACGCTTTTGGGGTGAGGCGGAGTATCATCGATCCCAGTGATACGATGTATATACCCCCACCCTTGATCCTAAAGCGACCACCTAAGGTTGCTTCAACGCTTATGGGATCACAGGCGTCAGGATCCAAAGCAACCCCGTTGGCAAGTCTCTCCCTGTCCGCCTGAGTGCGGAGTGGGCGCAGAGCATGCAAACGGTGTTGATGGGCGGCGCTGGTCAGCCGTGGAGGATGTAATGCTTAGGACCCCCGGGTGGGGATAACATTAGGCAACACTTCCCACTGGACCAAACGCTACCCGGTCGGTGTGGTTTCGGGATCAGACCCCATA